GGAAGACCGTTTCAGGCTTAACACTAGGAAAAACTTCTTCACAGCTAGGGTGTCCAGACTGTGAAATAGGCTCGCTCTAGAGGTTATGCAATCACCAACCCTGGAAATCTTCAAGAGGAGACTGGACAGTCACCTTGCTGGGGTCACCTGACCCCAGTTGTCTTTCTTGCCTAGTGCAGGGGCGCTGGACCCGATGATCTGCCAAGGTCCCTTCCAGCTCTTAAAATCTGTTAATCTATAAACACTGCCCCCACCCCCGCCCCAACCTACTAGCCTCCTTGATTCCCTCCTGGACCCCTTGATTCCCTCCTGGACCCAATGTCCCCCCTGGCCCACCCACCCCTATCCCACCTTAACTTACTTAAATCAGGCTCCCAGCCCTGGCAAATGTTTGCATAGTTGGAATATGATCTACAGTCACACTGCTTAAAGCTGCCCAAACATACACTGTATCCCAGGAATGTCTGTATGTGGCCTGAGTCTGTGGAACTACCAGTTATTTTCTCAGTAAGGTTAACTCTTGGTATAGGTGGAAGGCATGGCAGAGTGATATGAATTATGGACAAATGCAAGGTGCTATATCTCAGAAGGAATAATCAAAAACACAAATACAAAATGGGTGACACCTGACTGGATGGCATCTCTATGAAAAAGGACTTGGGAGTCTTGGTAGGCCTGAGTCTGCAGTGTGATGCAGCTGCACAAAATGCCACTGTGGTTTTGGACTGCTTCAATAGAAGCATTAGTGCAAGACATGGGAGGTGATAGTGCCTCTCTACTCGGCACTTGTTAGACCTCATCTGGAGTACTGCATGCAGTTCTGGGCCCCACATTTTAAAAAGGACATGAAGCTAGAGAGGGTCCAGAGGCAGGCAAGAAAGATGATCAAGGGCTTGGAAAGCAAGTCATATGAGCTGAGGCCAAAGGATCTAGACATGTTCAGCTTGTGGAAAAGGTGCTTAAGAGATAACATGCTAGCAGTCTTCAAATACTTGAAGGACTTCCATAAAGAAAAGAGAAAGCACCTTTTCCCTCTTGCTGCAGAGAGCAGGATGTGGACCAATGGCTTCAAGTTTCAGCAAAGTAAATTTAGACTGGATATCCAGAAAAACTTCTTCACTGTGAGAATAGTGAGGCAATGGAATAGACTGCTTAGGGAAGCTGTGGACTCTCCATCACTGGGAGGTGTTCAAGAAGAGGTTGGACAGCCACTGGTTAGGGATGATGTGGGTGTAGCTAAAACCTATTTTCTACCATGGGTATTTCCCATGCTTCTGGGTTTACTGGTTGCTCTCCTCCCCA